TCACTCGGCTTACTGGTCCTACCTTTCAAGCCATAGAAGTGAAAGGTAGTAGTAAGCCTTTATAGAAAGTTTTACATCAATGTGTGTCATCTCCCACATTTTCTTGTCTTGCCCAATTAAATTTTTGCTGCAGTATAATGTTCACGTATTAACATCTACTTTCCAAGTTGCCAAAATTCTTTACGTGCAATGGGATCTCGATACCATGGTCCCACACTCCACATAGCACAATATTGGCAAAAAACATACAAATGTGGACGATAGACTGCCTTGGAAAGAAAAGCTCAATATTTATTGTGTGACACAGCATTTGAAGGTTCCCAGTCTGTAAAATATGAAACACACCTGAAATAGCTGTTGAGCTGGACAGGTACACTCCAAAATGGCTGCTGTGGAAATCTGAAAAGCTGCAGGAAATGTCCTGTGAAATACAAATGCCGAAAATGGTGTAAATAGTAGTAGAAACAAGCTTTTTCTGAAGGAATAGTTCTGTGAATTCTTCAAATAGTGAATAAACTTTCATGCAACAGGCTTTAAGCAAATGTTTCTTCCAGATACACCTTCTCCAGCACTGCTTCATCCCAGAATGAGAACTTCTTCCTAAACACTGGCTGCCAGTCATGTCGCTGCCACTAGAGGATAGGAGAGCATCCCTAAGCTCCATTTCTAGCTCAGAACGAATATTTACTCTCAGTGAATTCCATTCTGTTTTGTTCATTTTAAAAACTTAATTAACTTCATGCAAATATAAAAGTATTTATTAAGTCTACCTCTGTGGGTCAAGTCCTGTGCACGGTGATGAGAAAACAGAGGTAAACGATACTGTCCCTGCCTTGAAGACTTCACAGTCAAGGATGAAAATGTGTTGCACAGAAACACATTCTATGCTCCAGATATTTCGCTCCTCATTCATCCTTTCACTCACTTATTCACTCACTGAGCAGCTCTGTTTCTGGCACTATCCTAGGCACTGGTCTGTAACTGTCTGTGGATAAATCACAAATGCTGCCTGGGGGCCGAGGAAGGGAGGGAGACAGCCAGCAGGGCGTGAGAGGCACCTGGGCTCTGCCTTTAGCCTTGAGGATGTGGCAGGCAGAGGTGAGGGGAGGATGTTCTCAGCCGTCTCCACATGAACAGGGCTAGGACGTGGGCTGGACAAGTGAAATGTGGGTGAGGCATCAGCCCACGGAGGGCTTGGCTGCCTGCTGGAACACTGAGATGCTGTCTTCCCTGATGAAGAGTGTGGGAAGGTCTAAGCTGGGCTGTGGCTTCAGTGTGGAGGGAGGGCAAACAGAGACCCAGAAAGGCCAAGTGAGAAGACTGAGGGATGGCAAGGAACGACATTTCTGGAATACAATTAGAAGACTACAGGTTCCAGTGGATAGAGGGGTGAGGGGGACACAGAAGATTTGTGGTTCCTCTAAAAGATAAAAACACAATTACCATAGGATCCAGCAATTCCACTCCTGTGTCTATAAACAAAGGACTTGGAAGAAATGACTTGAATAGATACTTCTAAGCCAGTGTTCATGGCAGCATTATTAGCAATAGTTATTAGGCAGAAAGATACCAAGTGTCCCTCAACAGATGAATAGGTACACAAAATGTGGTATATACATACAATGGAATATTATTCAATCATAAAAAGGAATGAATTTCTGATACATGCTACAGCAGGAATGATCATTATAACAGTGTGCTGCGTGAAATTAGCCAGACATAAAAGGAAATATATTGTATTATTCCACTTACAGGTAGTAGAATATGCAAACATAAAGACAGAAAGTAGATTAGAGATTACTAGGTACTGAGGGCAGGCAGAGTAATTCCTTAAAGGTTACAGAGTTCCTCTTAGCATGATGAAAAGGTTTTGAACATAGGTAGTGATGATGGTTGTAAAACATTGTGAATGTAATTAATGCCATGGAACTGTACAATTAAAATTTGTTAAAGTGTCCTATTTTACGTTCTGTATGTTTCACTAATTTTTAAAAGTTAATATACACCGATTGGGGGAAAAAATGGCAAACAGGAGGCAGGACTAACTTGCAGCTCCCACTCAGACAGACAGAGTAGCCTATGGAGACTCACATCATGAATTTTTGCTCCAATAACTAGTGCAGGATACACCTGGAAAGCCGACAGAATCCCCAGACCCTTCAAAGGAAGCAGACTGCTGTTGCAAGACCCTAGGAAACAGTCAAAAGCCTGTGAGTGTCTAAAGTGTGAAAGGGGACTCCTCTGCCCCTGAACACATACCCTCACTGGGAAAACTGAAAGTCCAGATCGAGGGAGTAGGATTTGACCTTACCTGGAGCTGGGATGAATTTAGAGAGCCAAGTGAAATACAGCGGTAGAAGAAGCAGCGGGCACTCTCTGTCCCCAAGGAAGCCATTTCTGACTTTGTCTCATAGGGGTCCCTAGGGAGAGCAGCCAGAGGAACTGGGAAAAGACCATACAAAGAAGGAAATTTCCAGCTGAACTTCGTAATAAATTTGACTGAACATGAAGTTTCCTGGACAGAACTGGGGGAGGGGGTACATCGGGAGTACAGACACAGCACAGAAGCCACAGCAGATGAGGAAGCTTGAAACCTGAAAGCCCTGCTTGCTTTCTCAGCCAGGAGGCTGGTAACCTGGGGCAACTTCTCAGCCCTGCTCACCCACTGCCTGGAAATAAACTCAGTGCTGTTGGTGAAGCATAATGGGAATGAGACAAGCTTTTTGGGCTGCATGGGAGCTAAGTGAGGCCTGTAATTATGGCTTTCCCTCCTTCCCTGGTAACCTACATGACACAGCAGAGGCAGCCATAATCCCCCTGGAAACATAATTCTATTGGCCTGAGAACCACACTCCCATCCCCCACAGCTGCTGCAGCAAGCTTCACCCAAGGAGAGTCTGAGTTCAGACATGCCTAACCCTGCACCCACCTGCTAAGTTTTTATCTACTCACCTTTGTAGCCAAAGACAAAAGACATAATCTCTTGGGAGCTCTATGGCCCCTCCCACCACCTGATCCTCCCTATACTGCCACAGACGATGCTCTCTTTAAAGCGCCACCTCCTGGCTGAAGGCCAACCAACACAAAACAAGCACAATAAGCAAAACTGCAACCCAGGACTCTCACAGAGTGAGAGAGGAAGCACGAAAGACTGAGGAAGCCAGGCTCCTTTCAAAACCCACATTCTCGGGAACTAATCCCTTCCAGTTAGAGCAAAAACTCATATGCCTCTGCAGGGGGACATTAATCTATTCATGAGAGATCCACCCCCATGACCCAAACACTGCCCACGAGGCCCAGACTCCCAACACTGCCACATTGAGAATCAAGTTAGCAACTAGAGTCTGAGCAGCGACACATCACATCCCAACCAGCAGGGCTGTTGTGAGCTGAGCAGGAAAGCCTCATAGGCCTGGTCTGGCATGAGCACCTCAAGGACCCAGCCTCTCATACCCGCAATGAGACATGAAAAGGGAGCCCAGCCTGGCCACATCACCAGGCACCTGTCAGTCTCACTCACACATGAGGTCTGCCAGCTCTTCAGGAAGCTCACGGAGTGGGCAGCTGTCCTGTAAGGTCTGGGAGGAGCCCCGGTAGACAAATGAGTCTGGCCAGTGGAGAGGATGTCGGACCCCAAGCACTTCCTCCCCCACACCACAGTCTGGTGGTGGTTTCCTGCCTCTAGCTGGCCACCCTGAGTGAACAGGGACATCCTCAACCCTGTCCACACTTGGTGACTGCCTGGGGGCTGTTTCAACACCCAGTCCCCTACTTCTCACAGCTTCACTGGACTGGTGTCCCTGCTGTGCCAGCCTCTCTCCATCTAGACCTTACTTCTCTTGCTGGATCTGAGCACAGCTGTCCCCCATTTTTAGCCCAGGTCCCTGAATGCCATAGACAGACCTTCTTTTTACTAAGATGTGACATCTTTTTCTGCTTCTCTGACAGGACGTCCCCCGAAATTGGTGGCTGTAGGCAGAGCCTCCCTCCCTGTCCCCTGACCTCCCAAATCACTGGGCTACTTTAGCCCTGCTCTGAGAGGAGGCAGGAAAGGAGCAGCCTGGACAGTCAGTGCTTGACTGGAGTCAGAGGGAGAGGGTTGGGACAGAAGAGTGGGCTGGGAACTTCCTGCACAGGATGTTCACCTAGTATCAGGTGGCACACGAGGGCTTGTGCTGGCCATGATCAGAGAACAAAGGACAGTGGGGGCTCAGAATTCTGGTTGGTCAGCCATGGAGAGGTACTCTAACCACAGGATCCCACAGGGCATGAATGAGTGACCAAAAAGTGACCCTGCTCAATCCACGCAATGGGCAAGACTCAGGGTGAGTGCACATCTGTGCACATTCCATGACAACATATAGACACACTCAGGCACAGCGACACCTGTATGTGCCCACTGCACACTCCACATTCAACCCACACGCATGCCCAGGATCACAGGAGGCAGCAGAGTGTGCTTAGAGAACCGGAAGAATTAAATGGAATCCATCTTTGGTGCCCACCAGTCCCCAGCCTCCTATCTCCCTCCCACAGGGAGCCTGTCGATCGCTTCTCACACCAAAGCTCTTAGCTCCTTTTCACACTGACACACACTCTCAGAGAGTGTCAGTACTTATGATGAAGGCTTGGTCAAAGAGGCCAGAATCAGAGGCCTCAGCTCAAGCTCCTCCCAGATGAGTGTCTTACAGGTTCCTTGCCTTCATACAGAAGTGGGAAAATGGCCCCCTCCCATCCAGCCTCCCAGGCCTTCTCAAGGCCTGATTTAAGCTGATTCAAGTGGGTGAGAAGGGTTCCTTTCCTCCAGGAAGCCCCCCTCTAATGCCACTTGGCCACCTTCCCCAGCTGAACCCTGGATGCCTGGAGCACCACGTGACTGTGAGACACAGACACTGACAACGGCAGGGGTGCCACAGAGACACATCTCAGGGGGAGCGGAAGACACACCAGTGATACCATATCCCATATTTCTTGACTTCAGTGATGGTTACAAGAGAGTTTGCTTCAGAATTATTTATTATTTTGTACAGTCTTCGTTTAGGCAATTTTTTCTTATGTCTGTTATATTCGAAACACACACATACAAAGTTAAACAAAGAAACACATCTCAGTGAAGGGGCAATCCCCTAAGCCATTCTTCTATTCAGTGGTATCCAGTCATAACCACGAATCTCAGGACAAAACTTTCCTTGTGTTCACTATGAGTCTCTCTAAGGTTGGAATGTAAGTTTCTGCTGCATTTTTAAGTTTGACAATTACAGGAGATAAATGAAGTTTCTTGAACCAAATAGGTGCTCACCAAATGTTTGTTGAATAAATGAATGATAAACATTTATAGACACACATCTGTACAAAGCACTGTCCTCTAGGAGTTGTCTATGGTAATGCCTAGTCCCCTTCTAAACTACAAGCCTTCTGAAGGCAGGGTGCCCCAACTCCTCTACATCCAGCCCTGGGAGGGTGGTGCCCAGGGAGAGGTCACAGCCTGAGCCATCCGGGGCCCCATTCTCATCAGAGCTACTTCCCAGACCCAGGGCCCAGTGGCTTCAGGTGGAGGTGGATGCCATTCTTGGAGCGCAGGACAAGCTGGAGCATCTTGATGGGCAGCCGTGAGGGGTCCAGAGAGAACTCAAAGTGGAGCAAGCACATGGCTGTAACCACCTTCATCTCACTCATGGCAAACTGCTGCCCGATGCAGTTCCTGTAGCAAGCAGCACAAAGAGTCATTGTGCAATGGAGCGTCCAGAGTGACGGCATTCAGTGCTCTTAGCAGCCAACAAAAGTCAATTACTGTTTTTGGATGAATAACTTGCTGATAGATTGGTTGACCTGGGCTTATGAAACAAACCTTGAGAGCATGGTGAGGGTCCCAGACTAGGTAGAGTCACATGGTGGGGGTCTGCAATAGGGGTCTCTCTTGGAATGACTCACCTATCCCACCTACTTCCCAGGGACAGGAATAAGAAAATTGCAAGAAGAAGGCTCCTGCATTAGAATCACCACAAACCCAGCATGATTCCCCCTTATTCAGCGTACCTTCTAATAGTGCCTCCCCTGTGATGTCATCCACCCTCTCCTCCCCAGTCCTGAGGGCCTGGGATACTGGGTCTCTCCATACCTGGGCCCAGCAGAGAAGGGCATAAAGGCAAAGGGATGGCGTTTGGACGCATTCTCAGTGGAAAAGCGCAGAGGGTCAAAGACCTGAGGAGACAGGCCTTGCTTAAACACTCACCAGGTTCTGGCAGACGATGACCCTCCCAGTCCCCCACCCTGTCTGATCTCCCAGCCCATGGAAAGGGTACCTCAGGGTCGGGCCATACAGCACTGTTCCTATGGAGGGCATAGATGTGCATAGAGATCAGGCTTCCTGTGGGCAGAACAGAGGTTGGCGACCAGGTAGTCCTAGAAAGCCAGGCCTACCTCCACATAAGGTCAGAGTTCCCCTAGTGCCCCCTGGGGTGCCAGCCCCTGCTGACCACTGCCAGTGACAAAGAGTTCATGACCACACCCGACTCATCACAGTACTTTGATGATTATCATGCCCAGTTCCTGTAACCCCAGCACTGGGTGCAGCACCTGACAGACATTTGTGAAATGAATAAAGGGAGAATGAACCCCTCCATCATGAGGTAGAACAGGAAGGAACTATTAAACCTTTTCAGCTGACTGACTCTTGGGAAATTATTATTCATAATATTACACTGCCAACAGTAACAGCTATCATTCACCAGGTGCTTACTAGGAACCAGGTACAGGCTTAACACTCTTTATGAAGCTACCACATACAGTTGTGTAGGTTGTACACTGCACAGCATCATAGTCTATGTGAGTGATGCTCTCTAGTGATCTTCAGGGCATGATCTGCATGGTGGTACATGGCAGCCTTGGTGGACATTGTCTCTTTAATCCTGACAGCAGCCTTGAAACATAGATACTCTTCTCATCCCCCATTTTACAGAAGTGGAAATGGAGGCTCAGAGGTAGAAGAATTGATCAATATGTTGTGGGACTGGGATTGAGACCCAGGGCTCTCTGAACGCAAAGCCTGAGCTCTTCCCCAAAGGTGCAAAGATTTGACTAAAGGCACAGAGGGTGCCAGAGGAGCATGCAGAGGACTCCATTTCCACCCCCAAATCCACCCATCCCACCTGCAGGTAGAGACCGGCCATCCACAAAGGTGACAGGCTTGCTGAGCTGGCGGTACACCTGGGGCACAGGTGGGTAGAGGCGGAAGCTCTCCTTGATGCACATGGTCAGATAAGTCATTTTGCCCAGATCATCCCTGCCAGCAACACAACCAGAACATTCTGGGAATGGGAAGCAACAGGATTTGGGAAGAAAGCAGACTCCAGCCCCAGTTTTCCCTCACCACCACCACACACTCAAGAGTCAGGGCCACAGGGTTCCAAGTGCCCGGGCCAGGCCTGACATGGTGTGGACACTCAGATCTAAGGGATCTGGTTCCACTTTTCTGCATCCCTTTCTCATCTTCACTGGTAGGAGAAGAAGGTACAGGACCCTAGAGATGAATGTGCACACAGCCATCAAAGACAAGGTCACCTCTGCAACTCTCAGGACCCCCATAGATGCCTACAAAGGATAGTTCTTTAGGTTCCAACTTGGTTTCCCCTACTGAGCAGAATGAAAGAAACCGGGGCTGATACACATTGGTTGAATGAATCAACCAAAGTTCATGCATTGTTTAATGAGGTGAGTGTGTGTGTGTGTGTGTGTGTGTGTGTGTGCGCGCCTTTTCCCTTTGGCCACCAGGAAGCTCAGGCCCAGATATGACATCCAACTATAACTACTGGGCAATATTTTATTACAGAGTTCCCAAACTCCACACTGGCTCTTATTTTTCATTTGCATTTTATTATTTTATTGAATAAATGTCCTCTAAGTTGCTTCAAGCTCTAGATGGAATCACGTGAAAATAAAATAAATATTCTAATCCCTGCCTCGAGTTGTGTTCACATTGTTACCCAGCCTACAATGCCTAGCTCTCTCTCTTTGCCTGAATTTTAACCCTCCTTAGAAAGTCAATTCAAGCCTCACTCCTTCCCTCTGCCCTCAGCCTTCAGACCACGCGATCCTGTAATTTTCTCTCGCTGTTTGGTTATGTGAATTTGTCTCTCACAAAACCCCACGGGCAGCAACTTGGCTTCTCTTTCTCTTCCATTCTGCAGCCCTGATAGCACCTGGCATGTGCCTGGATACCCTGTGTGGGGGAATTTTCACATATGACCAACAGAAATGGTAATGAAGCTTCATACTCCAGGTCCCAGACCCTGGAGTTAAAGGTCAGTCCCCCTCAAGTGGATCTAAAGTTCCCCTACCGGCTCAGCATTTTCTGTACCCCTGCTGTGTGCCTAGCCCCTGCTGGAGGCTGCTCAGGAGCCCAGAGAGAAAGGCAGGGTGTCTGACCACAAGCAAAGGCCTGAGGGGAGCAGACAGCGAGCAAGGTTGGAGGAGCTTCTGAGAGACTCCTAGAGCTCACGCTGCAAAGAGAGGTCAAGGTCAATCCTGAAGTGTTCAGGAGTTCAGTCTTGGGCCAAGAAACAGGGGAAAACAATGGAAAGTTTTTAAGTGATGAAGTTTGGGGAAGTCTTTTCTCCTTCACCAGCAGGAGAGATATGGCATCTGGAAGCTGAGTATTGCCATCCAAAGGCAAGTAGCAAGGGACTGGCTCTCCTAGCTGTCCCAACTCTGTTCACCCCTACATTTCCACCTCTTTCTCCCCCAGCTCTCCCTGCTCTATCCAGGAACCCAGAAGGGTAATCAGGTTCTACCTTCAGAAGAAGTTAGCACACAAAATAGCAGCCTCTTGTTGACAACTTTCTCTACGTAACACATCTGAAAAAGCTCCATTTTGGGAGAATGGGCTCAGGGGTGTGCCTGTGCCCAGCCACCCCCCACCCCCCACCCCCCGCTGTCACAAATCGTATGACACTGGGGGAAACAGGACAGCTGCCGCCACCTCACCTGATTTCCAGGATGGTTCAGGACAGGATGGGCACCGCCCTTCCCAAGGGCTGAGCAGGATAAACTGGGCCCACCCTCAGACTCACTCACCACTGGAAGGAGTCCCGGTCCCCCAGGATCTCACGGACCTCCTCTCTACAACGATGCTGGTGCTCAGGGTACAGGGCCATGCAGTAGAGAAACCAGGAGATACCACTGGTGGTGGTGTCATGGCCTTCAAACATAAATGTGTCCACCTCAGCCCGGAGGTCTGCATCTGACAGCTTGCTGTCATCTTCATCCTGGGTTAGGGAAGGCATAATAGGACAGTTCGAAGTATTGGAGATGGGTAACAAGAAGAACTCATAGCAGTGGTTGTCAAATGAAGGTCTCAGGGAGGGAGTGAAAGCTCCTTTTCAGAGGGTGGATTAGGACCTTCCCCCAGATTCCCATCTTCCTTCAAAGCTCAGCCTGGATGCCTCCTCCTCCACAAAGCCCTCCCTAATCGCTCTGGCCAAATGACTTGTGCCTTGTCCAGCCCTGACTGTTAGTTCTGCTCACTGGGCATGCAGAATACCACCTGCCAGAGGAAGACATTTTGGTCAACATCTACCTACTATCTCCCCTGCTGGACTGTAAGCATCTGGAGGGCAGGGCCAGGTCTTTCCCATCTCTGCATCCTAGCACAGGAACTGACCCAGAGTCAGAGCTCAGTGAGTTTCTAGAGTTGATGAATAAAGAACTTACAGAATGAATGAATGAATGAATGAATGAATGAAGTCTAAGATTCTAGGATTCTACAAGGCCAACATTTTGGGGGATCTTAGAAGTCTAGAAATGTCATCCAGTCACTACCACATGACCTAGGCTCCCAACTCCACAGCTCAGGCACACACACCCTACACCTGCCCACCTCTGAACCTTTGCTAATATGTTTCCTGGGACAAGGAACAGGTTATATTTGCCGAGTAAAGAGGGGGAAATGCTTAAGAGCTCCTTCTGCTGTCCTGAGAGGATGGTCTGAAGACCTCTCTGGGACCAGTCCTCAGGCGGTGAGGAATCATGTACTCACCCGGGCACCCAGGAGAATGTCCAGGAAGTCCAGGTGCCTCCGGTTCTGGATCTTCTTCCACACCTTCTCATCCTGAAGGGCTGCCTTCCGCTCCCTGATGACCTGGTCTGAACCGGAAGCACAGAGCGTCACTGCCTGGGAAGCCATCTTGTGTCCAAAGGGCAACTGGGGTCCTATAATAGGAGGGGGCAGAGAGGGGCCAGGAGGAGGAACGCAGGCTTCCTAGGGGTGAGCCTTGTTGGAAAGGCCCACCTGTATGGTCATGGGCCACCTGGCAGGCCCGCAGGAAGCGGCGGCCATGTGGGGTGAGCCAGTAGATGAAGTCATTATGGTAGTGGAAGGACACAAGGCGCTGCTGCATCAACAGAGTGAGATCGCTGACTGCAAGGTAGTAGCTGCTGTCCCTGCCAAGCAGAGGGTAGGAGGAAGGATTGGCTTAGACACTGGCCCAGGAGCAGAGCCAGAGCAACTCCATTCCAGAAATCTGGCCCCAACCACAGAGCATCCTGCCCTTCTTCTCCTGCCCTTAAGCCTCCTCGCTAAAGCCAGATGTTTCTCCCCACCATGAGTAAGTCCTGGCTCCCCGCAAGCTAAGGCTCCCTGGGGCAGGACACTATCTCTTCTCAGGTCAGGGCCCAGGACCCCTGCCAACTCTCCCCTGTAAGCTGGCTTTGGAGACAGTGTGGTCAGCCCCGAGGTGGCCCCTGACCTGTGGCCCAGGCCGGTGTCTCCTCTTCCAAAGGTGCACTTCATGAGCGTGTTCAGCGCCATGTGGCCCACATCACAGAAGATGTCAAAGGACTTACCCTCCTGAGCCTTCTCTTCCCACTTGTCCTGGAGTCCAGGGATAGGAGGCAATGTGGGGGTCAATTGGACTGGATGCCACAAGCTTCACTCCAGGACTCATAGCCTATCCTCCACCACCAAGCCCCCTTCACCCACTCCCAGTCCCTGTCCTGCCCTCCACCCTGCTGGAATATCAGGGTAGGGTAGGTAGCAATTTGGCAGCCTCTGGGCTACAGGCTCAGAGGGCAGGACCAGGAGGCAGATCTTGCACCGCACACAGATGTTTTCTCCCAGTCAGGGTAGCTTATAAGAGAGTAGGACGGCTGAGAGGTGGTGAGCTCCCCAGCACAGTGTGTGTGTAAGTAATCCTGGAGAGGAGTTTCCTATAAGGGGAAAGACTAGCCTGGATAACCTGGGGATTATCCAGCCCTGAGACTCTGAGCCTGACCTCTGACATCCCTCTTAGAGATGAGTTGTATTGACAGAATTTTGGGCAGTTGTGGTAGACAGAAAGTGAGGAGACACTTTTTAGGTGTGAAAGCCTTTCCCTGTACTCTCAAATAAAGGCAGTCCTCAAACCTGCTATGCTAGGAGTCTTAGTAAGTTCTCACAGAGACCCTTTGGCCTGGGAGGAAAGAGGGCTGGGTCTCCTGATGGAGACCAGGACCGAGCTGCCAGGACACTCAGAGATTCAGCACCTACTCAGTGGCAGCATGTGGCACATGTCAGCAATGCAGGGATTTGGCACTGCTGTTGCAGGCAGAACAGGTCTTGGGGCTCAGCTATTCTCCTCACCGCAGAGCACCACCTGCTCTCCCCAGGACAAAATCAGGGTGGAGAGGGGCTAGCCCAGCAGCCAACAGCCTCCATTGCTCTGGCACAGGGAGCTCACCAGCATGACACGTGTGGACTCAGCGAACAGAGCCACATAGGGCTTCAGCACATCATAATGAAAGCCAGGTGTGAGCAGCTTGCGGTGCTGGAACCACTTGGGCCCCTCAAGAACTAGCAGGCCTCTCCCTGGGGAAGAGATAGGAGGGAGAGGGCTGGTCAGTCCAGGAGATACCGCCCCACCCGGGGCAGCCTGGGGCTAAGCACATCCTACCCGACTCCATCCCTGAGCCTGGAACCCTCCAAGGATGGGCCACTAAGCGACCCAGTATTGCCCTCCACGCTCTCACCCTAGGCTACCAGGGCCTCAGGACACAGGTGGCAGCAGTTCTTGGCTGAGTGAGCTCCTTCCTTAGGACAGGATGACTCAGCTTCTGCCTCTCAGCTGCACCCAAAAATCCTGGGTCCAGGAACTTGTGTCAGATGACATTGCCAGATATGAGACAAAGGACATACATCCCCCTGGGGACGGTCAAGCGGGGGGAGCCTGCTGAGCCTTGACTGTCAGCTGCTGAGACTCGCCACAGCTTCAGGACTTGGGGAATGGCCCACTGTGTTCGTGCTTCATGGCCTCAGGTGGGAGCCTTCCTACTCCACCCCAACACACCCAGCAATGGAAATGCATTCCTGCCTCCAAAACCACCTCTTCATTTTCCTGATCCTTTTCTGTCTGCCTTCTAATTTTATCCTCCCATTGATAACTGAAGAGTGTTAGAAGCAAAAAGACTTCCCAGTGGTACTCGGTGAGTAAATAGGATTGGGAATGTGTTCTCCCTCTTGGCCCTGCCCTTTCTCAGCTCCCAGGAAAACACTGAAGACCCCATAGGATCATGAGTAAAAGAGGAGCTTTGGAGAAGCATATGGTGGCTAAAGAACACTCAGTGGGTTTAACTTGACTACCTCTGAAAAGAAAAAAGTAAAATAAAATAAAATAAAATACTCAATGGCTCCCACCTACTCTCGACATCAAATCACCTCCTCATCCTGGCAGTCAAGGCTGGCCTGTCCTCCCTGCCCAGCCTCATCTCCCAGCTGGGCTCTACCTTGCAGCCACCCCGACAGCCTCACAGCCTCTGGTGACCAGCCGTGGTCCTACCACCACACCATTTCCTCAGACCCTTGCCCTGGCCAGCACCACCTATTTAAATCTCCTTTCGGATCAACTCTAGTGCCACCTCCTTCAGGAAACTGTTCTTCACACTTACACATTCTCCAGAGCCTTTGCCCTGTCTAGAGAAGGCAGACCCTGCCAGAGAAGATGCCTTGGCTCCACAGCTGGGGGTTCTCCTGCTCCTCCCCTGTCTCCCCACTGAGAGCTGAGCTTAGGATGGGTACCCGGGAACTAGGCCATCTGGGATAACCAATTGAGCAGGACAGGGCAGGATCCTAGCCACCATGGGTCTGAGGTGGGCATGGCAGGGAAGGCAGGTGCTCACTTACCAATCCACTGGAGGAAGAAGTCATACACATCAGGGGCCTTAGGGTCTGCAGGAGGAGACAATCAGGTCAAGCAGGGACCCGGGGTTCCTAGAGAAGGCTTGTTTATGAGTAGGGTGGGCACCTCAGCCGCCCAGACTTAGTACACAGGCCCAGGCCTCCTCCTCACATGGTGCCCTGAGCCCTTTGTTCTCAGGAAGCCCCACCCTCTCCTGAGAGTCCCATCCTCTCTCCTCACCCCCACGGCTGTACACAGCTTTGGCATAGTCGGGCTCATAGATGTTCAGGAGGCCAATGAACTGTCCGAACCAGAGTGGGTGGGCATATGGGAACTGGTGGGCCCAGGACACCACTTTGTCCAGGCTCCCCGTCTGCTGGATCTGAAATGATGACAGAAGGTCAAGGTTACTCAGGAACACATTGTCTCTAGCCAGACCCCAAGTTCCTGGGAGGGCAGGGGAGAAGGCTGCTCAGGCAGGCCCTGGTTGCTTCCTTACCTCTCCTGCACTCCCTTCCCCTAAACATTCCTAGGCCTAGTGCCCTCTCCAGCCCTACAACCACTGCTCTAAGTCCAAGTCACCTTCTTCTCACACCGGGGTTAGCTCAACATCCCCAAACTAGCCAACCTGCTTCCACTTGGCACCTGCCACCAACTCTCCACTGCACTGCAGCCAGAAAGTGCTTTCTTCTCCACATTAAAGTTCTTTCATTATAAAGGTAATATTTGTTCATTGTGCAATAGAGAAATAGCCTCAATTCCACCCCTGCCGCATCTTTCAACACATTTTTATTGAGGGCCTACATGTACAGGTCTCTGTTCTCAACATCTCAGAGGAATGAGACAGACAAGTTCTGCCCTTTCATTCTATGGAGAAGACAGATAATAGACAAGTAGACAATTAAGTAAAATAATCACAGACAATAGTGATTGCTGAGAATAAAAACAGTGCTATGAGAGACACTAACAGGGAGGGCCTGCTTCCATAGGGTGATCCTGGAAGGCTTCTTGTTGGAGACAACATTTAAGGTGAAACTTGAAGGATGGTGAGGCTCTGGCTGTGTGACGCATAAAGGAAAAGCATTCTGGGTGAGAAAACAGCAAGCACAAAAGTGCTGGAGTGGGAAAGACCACGGTGTCTTCCAGGAGGTGTCCCATGGTGGGACAGTCACCTTGGATGAGCTTGAATGGGTCATCCAGAGGTTGGTACATGTCCTTTGGAGGTTTTATAGCCACATATACTCACCCAGAGGTGTTTTAAGTAAACAAAGTTATATAATAAATATTTTTGCAAAACCAGCCTTTTTTCATTAAAGCATATCTTGTCCTTCTTTCCAGGCTAGTGCACTTCACTGTCATTAATATTTTTAACTGTCGTGTAGTATTTCACTATAGGGATGTAATGTATTTAACTATTTTTCCTCATTTAGTGGGAGTCTTTCAAAGATACACTTAACACTCCTAGTGGTCTGCCCAGGGGCCTTAGGAAAGGTCCAAGCTCTGGAGTTTGTAAGGAGGCATAGTAAGACTAATCTTTATTAAGCACTTGTTGCGTGCCAGACCTTGTTTAAGCTACTTACATTTTGACCTGATTGAATCCTCACAATTCTAAGTGGTCCCATTTTAGGGAAGAGGAGCGAGCCTGAGGAATAGAGATGTTAGGTTACAATCCCATAAAATTCCTGTTGAGGCCTGAGCCTGTGCTGGGCCTGCTTTTTCTCTCTAAAATTCTCTCTCACAGTTGCCACCTACTCATTTATGGTATCCACACAAATTAGGAGGGGAAAAATATCCAAACCTTAATAATTTGGACATTTTTCCCCTCCTAATCTCATTTTGAAATGTGATCTCCAATGTTGGAGGTGGGGCCTCGTGGGAGGTGTTTGCATCATAGGGGTGGATCCCTCATGAATGGCTCTGGGGCCATTCTGGCAGGATTGAGTGAGTTCTCTTGGCTCCCATGATTCCCATGATAACTGTTTGTTAAAAAGAGTCTGGCACCTCTCTCTCTCTCTCTCCCCCCTTTCCTCCTCTCTTGTCATGTGATGCCTGCTCCTTCTCATGAATAGCAGTTTCCTAAAGCCCTCACCAGAAGCAGACACTGACCATGCCTCCTGTACAGCCTGTGGAACTGTGAGCCAAATAAACATTGTACCCAGTCTCAGGTATTCATTTATAGCAACACAAAGGACTAAGACATCCATGTTGTATCTTCCAGGGAATATTCTTAAAGAAGGACACAGGCATCTGATAATGTAGCCCCGAGGGATCCTTTCTGGCCCAAGCCACTATCTCCAAGGGCTCATGGGATTGGGCCTATTTTGGCCTCCAGCCACCCGTCTGTACCTTCTCTAGGGCTCTTCCCCTCCTAGGCCCTCTGTGGAGTCGTGTGCAATCATCCCATAGATCCCTTCCCTCACTGCCTCTGAACTCGGAATCCTGAGTTCAACCCAACAGGACTGTAAGAGTTTTCACTGCCCTTGAGTACACAATGTCAAAAAGAACACAAAGTGATAAAAATCATCTCCACACACAGGTAAGAGGAAACCTGGTATCCCTGCCTCCTTCCTGGCTGGTACCCCTGGAAGTGCTCCTTTCCCCAGTGTCTCTCTTATTTTTCCATCTGCCCTGCTGGGTTTTCCTCGCCAACTTCCTGGTCATCTGACCATTCCCCTTATCTCCATCCCTACCAGGTCCAGAAAGCCCAATTGGATGGGTCAAAGAAAGGCTTACATCACAAAAAAGCCAGACTCATAGGATCTCAGGGTCGGAAGGAGCCTTTGGCTGATCTGGTTCATCCGAGCCTCACTCCCCTCCTTATCAGTTATGCTTGTGCACCTCTGCACAAGACCCTGGTCTCATACTGACCACATTCACAGCCTGTGCCCTGATCAAGGTCGCAGCCAGCTTGTCACTGCCTCCTTGTGCCCGACTTTCTCCTAGCTCTTTAGATTTATTTAAGAAATAAATAAATCTAAAATAAATAAAAAATGTGTGCATGACCCCAAGCCATGGCCAAGCTTTTAAATAAAGCTAGAGAACTAGAAGCACCTGCCAGGCGCCTGCCTTGATTACCCCAGGAGCCTGGTAAGAGGGAGGACAGCTCCCAGCACCTGGTCCCGCTATTGCAGCTGCAGCCCCTCAAGAGGGCTGAGGCGTCTTCCCTGTGGGGTACACGTGGCTGCCTGGACAGTTCCTCTGGATTACACAACTGGATGCGAACAGGAAGAGAACAGGGCATGAAGATAATTCACTGATCCCAGCTCCCCAGCCTCACCTCCCACCCTCACATTGGCACTCCTTGTTGACCTCACCAGAAATAAATCACAGGAAGGATTGGGTAGAGCAAGCATATGTCACCACTCTCCTCTCTGCTTCCCAAGAGTCTAAAGTAAGCTTTGCTCCAAGAATCAGATGGGAAAGGGATTTCAACATTGCCTAGTGGAACCCTGACCTCTTTTTATAGGTGGAAACGTGCAGTACAAAGACCAAAGGGAATTATCTTCATGCCCTGTTCTCTTCCTGTCCCAGACCTCCCAGCCCTGTAAGTGTCCCAGCTCAGGATTACACAACTGGATTACTCATCCAGTGTGAGTTAAGGGAGACCAGGGATCCTGGCTTAGGCTCTTTCTGCAGCCCTTGTTAGCAAGCCTGCTCAAGCCATCAGCCAGTTGACCTGAAGCTCAGTGGGCCAGTGTCCAAGAAACAAGCTACCCTTGACCAGTGTGTTGCAGCTGCAGTGCCCCAGGGGGCTGCTTCAGAACAAAAATAAGTCGGCTCACAAAACGGGGATAAGAGTTTCGAAAAACCAAAGATGACGGAGGCGAAAGACGAAGAGGTTTCCTTTTCGGTAGCATGTCATTGTTCCCTCAAGGCAGGTCAAGTCAGTCTCGGATTCCCAGCACACAGGGTGCCTGCCCAGCACCTACACCTGGTAAGAATCCCTGCCCAAGTGCTCAAACATCTCTAGTGACAGGCAACTTCTTTTCAAAACACCCCAACCATCTTTGGACAGTCTTAATTCTTCAAAAGGCGTCTTAGTCGCTAAAGAGAAAGCCACCTGCCCATAGCCTTCCCCATGGGTCTCCCTCTGGGACCACACAGGCTCCCACTGCCCAGGGAAGTCCTGCAGGGATTGGGAGTGGGGAGCTAGAACCCCCTAGTTCTGCTCTCCTCCAGGATGGACACCCTTAGGTGCCCTTTGGTGCCCTGGTCTCGGCTGTCTCCCTACTATGGTCCCTCTCCCCACACCCAAGATTACCAGGGCTCCATGTGTGCATGAGTCCAAGCCACTGCCAAGTTTTCAAATAAAGCTAAAGAGCTAGAAGCCAAGAAAAACCAACCAAAAGGGAGTAGAAGTAGCATCTCTGAAATAACTACAAAAATCAGTGGGAAAAGCAGACTCAATGTACACAAACTCACTGGGGATTCAGCCGTGAGGTTGAACAGAGCCATGGAGAGCCTGAAAAGAGAGGATCAAATGCAAAATGCCCCAGGGAGCAGGGAACATTCCTCCCATGCTGGTGACAAACATGACTTCATCCTCCATCCTCCCTTTCAAAGACAAATGAACGATTACACATGTACATGTGAACAGATAACATACAGAAAGAACCCCTAGCTCAATAGAAGGAGCAAAGGACTTTGGGTGAGATCAGTGTGTTCACCAGGACTCTCTAGCCACCATGCCTTGGCTAGGAAGTGATGATGGACTTTGTCCAAAGTCACACAACTAGCATCATGCCCCAGTCTTTAGATTCCAAAGCCTGTGCTCTGCCCCCAACACCCTCCCTGTCTTCAGCATCCAAAGATGAACTCCAGACTCAGGAGCACCCAATCATGTGAGAGGAGGAATGCAGGAAAGCATCCAAACAACTAAAAAGGCAGGAGGGCAGGGACCCAAGAAATGCCCAAGAGTCCAAGAGGATGCAGTCATCTGTTGTCAGTCTGCATGGGCAGCTTTGCTGCCCAGAGTTGGGTCCCCCCGAGAGATTCATCCACTCTTCCAACACATGGGCATTGAGCCAGAGACAGTGCTAGTTTCTGGGGTTACAGTGGTGAGCAAGACAAAGCCCTGCCCCACCAGCATACATGCCAAGCGGGGAGAAAGAAAATAAACAAGAATCAAATACGCCAAGAGTACGATTTCAGGTAGTGATAACTCCCGAAAGAAAAAAAGCAGAGTAAGGGGCAGGGCTGCCACTATGGATGGGAGTGGGCTAGGAAGGCCTCTCTAAGGTGACATTTCAGCAAAGAGCAGCAGAAATGCCTTCTGGAAAGCCCCATGGCATCAGCCACAATCTGCTTCTTAAAAACTTTTCTTTCAACTGCCCCCTCTACCTCTCCCCTCCTCACTCCTGGCAGATCACCCTTGCTCTACTT